TAGATGAGGCTGCATCACATAACAAAAGGTTCAGGCTGTGGCTGCAGCAGGGGATGAATAAAGCCTCTGGACATCTCTGTTGTATTAAAGCTTGAACACCCTTGTTTATTCCCCTCATATTAGAGCCATTGTCATAACTTTGCCCTCTACAATTAGCCAAATCCAACCCCAGACTCTCCAGAACCCCTGTTAGTGTATCTGTGAGGCCTTTCCCAGTTGTGTCCTTCACAGCAGTGAACCCCACAAAAGACTCTGCAATAGTGACTTTTTTCTTCTCATCAGTATCAATATATCGAATAATGACTGAGGCCTGCTCTTGCTTTGAAATATCAGGTGTGCAGTCCAGTTCCACTGCAAAGTACTTAGAGGCTTTGATCTGGGCAGATATTTTACCCAAAACACACTCTGATATTGAATCTAAAAATTCATTCTGAGTGCACCATGTCAGATATCCAGTGGTTTGTTTGGAGGCTGCCTTTCTAAGATGTTCTGCCAGTGTGACATCATATCGTGCAATGAGCTCAAGGATTCCCAGAAAATTTCCATTTTTAGGATTTCCTAACTGAGAATTTTTCCCCCTTAGTGGCAAGTTTCTCTCTGCAAGGAAGAGTATGCAGTCAATAACTCGAGTCAACACACTTCTCCAGTATGCTTTTTCAGCTGCCATGGTTCTCTGCAGTTCACTATCAATAGTCTTACCTAGGCGTAAGCGAGATATCATTTCTTTCCACATCAGATAAGCATTTATGTGAGAACTACTGGTTTCATGGTGCTTCAGTGTTTTTGAAAGACATCGCCAGTTACTGTACCCTGCCACAAGGCATGTATCAGAAACTTTAGCTTCACCAAAAAGCTTACACGCAAAACAATAGACTCTGCTGGTATTTTTGGAATACAGTAACCAATCTCGTTCAACTTTCTCTCCATTAGACAGTATACGAAAACAGTACGCTTTGGAAAAACACCTCTTATTCTTCTCTGATCTTGGATATGGACCATCAGAAACTTTCTGTGGGCCATTTTCAACCATGTACTGCCTAAATGTGTCCCCCATTTTGTGTGGTAAAGGCCATTCGGATGGATCTTCTGAATAAAGCCTTGCCTCAGCCCTCTCCTCTGCAGCTCTGTACTTCTCTCCCTCTACATCATCATCTGGACCTCTCTGCTCCTCTCCCTCTTCATCATCTGGACCTCTCTGCTCCTCTCCCTCTTCATCATCTGGACCTCTCTGCTCCTCTCTCTCTTCATCATCTGGTCCTCTCTGCTCCTCTCCCTCTTCATCATCTGGTCCTCTCTGCTTTGTGATGATTAACTCACCATGTCTGCCTGAACTAATTTTCCCAAAAAAGAAGACAATGAAATATGGTCATCAGAAATTAAAACCATCATGGTATATAGGTTTTTGTTGCCTCCCTAATGTAATTATTCCTACCTGATGTCATCACTTGTCTCCTCTATCACTGACCTCGTGTCTGTCTCCTTCACCTTTTGTCTGTGGCATTCTGCACTAAGTCATAAGGTCAAAAAAGCATTATATATTAGTTGTAAAAATGACAGATCTTAATACAGTTTTTAAAAATAATGTTTACACATTATTGCTTGGGATTAAGTAACTGTTCCCTCACTTCCACCTGCATTAGACCAACCTGTTGCCTTCCCCAGTCTGTCCTGATTCTTCCTCTGTCATCTTCTCTTCCTTCTCTCCATCCTCACAGCTGAATGACATTAATTTTGTGTCAAGTAGGTTTAAAAATACAGCAGTCAAACCACAATAGAAATGAAACTTGAATTTAAATGATCTCCTTGTTGGATAACAGTTACTGACTGGACATTTCATCTGATCTGACTCACCAGATACATCACAACACACACCACTGTAGTGATACTGAATAAGACATTTAAACTCAAGTGTCCCTCTGCCAAAAAGGTTGGAAACATGGGTCACCAACCTTTTTGAGCTATAGTGACACTGAGGACTAATTTATCTGATACACACATAAACTTGTACAACTCATCTTTAATTAAAGAATCAATAATAATAAATGTACATATGAGTGAATAAATTGCAGCACTGAGGGCTAAGCGTTGGATCATAGCTGGGAACTGCCGCCACAACAGTTTAGCTTTCCTGTGTTAATATTTCATGAGTTTTATTTTGGTCATTCTTACACTTAGTGTGTGGATATGTGTGTGTGACAGGCGAGGCGCATGTATCAAATATTCATAAAAATACAGAAAATACTAAACAAATCACATCAATAGGGGAGGCAACATTTAACAGCCAACCGCAGTGTATTAGGCTAGCTTTAGCTAACCTGAATATTTAAACCCTCCTGTCCTGCTAATACACTGACAGTACTTACCTACTATCTTTCAACCACATTGAAAGGCTTTTTTTCATCCTGCCAACATCTTTATCCTTCTCCCTTTTCCTTTTTCTGTTTTGTGCCCCGGATAGCTTTTTTTTTCTGCCGCTCCATCTTGTTGTCAAGTGCACAACGAGCGGTAGTTCAAGATTAAAAAAAAAAAAAAAACGCGCCGAGTGCGTTCTCTTAGGGGCGTGTTCACAGCCACCTGTGTGGGAAGGGAGAGCGATAGGAGGGGAGGTGAAGGAGCAGAGGGGAGGTGAAGCAGCAGAGGGGAGGTGAAGGAGCAGAGGGGAGGTGAAGGAGCAGAGGGGAGGTGAAGGAGCAGAGGGGCGCCTAATCAGTGCTGTTCCCCTGTTATTGATCATTTAGAAAATGCCTACTAGAAAAACGTTTTTTCTACAGAGGGTTTTGACGCCCCCTGCAGTGCAGCGCCCCTATGCGTTGCATATGCTGCATACCCGCTTTTTGCGCCACTGATTATTCTAGTTAGAGATTCATGAGTCTAACAGCCTCAGGGTAGAAGCTGTTCCTCAGTCTAGTGGTTCTACACTTAATGCTCCTTAACCTCCTTCCTGAGGGGAGTGGGGCAAAAAGTGTGTGTGCTGGGTGGGTGGGGTCCTTCATGATGCAAGTGGCCCTCTTCCTGCATCTGGAGGTGTAGATGTCTGTGATGGTGGGGAGACTGATTCCAACAGATTTCTGTGCAGCCTTCACCACTCTCTGCAAAGCTTTTCTTTCTGCAGCTGTGCAGCCTCCATGCCACACATTGATGCTGGAGCACAGGATGCTCTCCACTGCACACCTGTAGAAGGAGGTGAGGACTGAGCTTCCCAGACCAGCTCGCCTCAGCCGTCTGAGGAAGTAGAGTCTCTGATGAGCTTTCTTGATCAGGCTGGTGGTGTTGTTGCTCCAGCTGAGGTTGTCATTCATGTGTACACCCAAGTACTTGTAGCTGGAGACCACTTCCACCGCAGATCCTCTTATGTTCAGGGGGGTGTAGGTGTTTTTGTTCCTTCTGAAGTCCACTAAAAAGAAGGACTGTATTGAGCAGAACCACCTCATCCTGTTTGCTGTCAAGCGAGCAAAGCAAGTGAGGAGAATCAGAAGGGAAAGGGAAAGACTACGTGAAAAGGAATACCAGGTCAGACAAGAAAAGAAAAAGCAAAAGAAGGAAACCAAACATCGGAACACAGTGGAGAAGAAACTGAAAGCAGCAGTAGAAAGTGGTGAACTTAAGGATGAGCTGGCCAAAGAACTGGGTTTGGGTGAAGAGCAGAGAGAAGTTCTTGGTGATGTTGTGATCAATCCCAAGAGTCTGATTGATTGTTGTATTGACCATGTCTGGTTTTCTGAAGAGGATGGATGCAATGTACTTTATGATGGTAGGGTGTTGAGAGTGTGGCAAAAGAGAAATGGCTTGAAAACAGTTTGTTTGTCATACTGGAGAGACAGTGAGGCTGAGGAGGAGTGTGAGGACCATAAGATGCCCCTCTTCAAATTCCTGACAGACTACAGACTGGGTGATCTTGTGTTACATTAAAAGAGAGGGGAAAAAAGTTTTAAATCTGGGCGTAAAGTGCAGTTTTAGAAACCTCTCATTCTGAGCTCCATTTTGATACCCTACACGATATAGTTTGGCACAAAGTAAAATTTGCAGTTTTTCTCCAATGTGGACACCATTATTCAATATGGCCACCACAGATTGTACATAATACTTGAAAATTATGTCATAGTGAATACTTACAGTCATAGTTGTACAGAATTCACCTTAGAATGCATCACAAATTGTGCATAGGTTTGTTTTCATTGAAGTAACCGTTTCTGTTAGCTTCAAGACTGCACCAATGTGACCTTTGACCTTGGAGTCATCAAGGTCACCTGGTGACCCCAAGGTCAGCAGGAAAAACATTTACATATATTTAGTGACATCACCACTGAATTTGATTAGGATACTGTTTACCACTTAGAACTGGTGTTCCTTTTAATAAACACTTCTTTTCAGTCAGAAATGTCTGTTACTTAACACAATTATTTTTCTCTGTTGTTGTGTAAATAAGCTTAATTAAAGTACATTAAAACTACTACTTTGAATGACAATATGTCCTGTCTTATTCATTCAATATTAACAAATGAGGTGTCCTTTTGTTGCATTTTTAGTGCTCTTGCTTTTTTTTTGCAAGCAGAAGGTCATTAAAACAACTTCTGAAAAATGTCCAAGTGCCTATAATGGCTCTAACTCAGCCAGTTTTACACATATAGTGCTAGTTTGACGTGGTAGTAGCAGAGAGTTCAACATGAGGTTTAACAAGCCGTGTTTTTGTTGTCACAGCGTCTTTTCTCCTGCAGGGGTCGCCAGACACCAGGCTGGATGGTTAACCATCAGCGCGCTCAACGCGCTGTTCTTTAATTTAAACAAAGCAGCTGTAGTTTCATAACTAATGTTGTCCTTGCTTTCGTCGATGCTGAAGACTTGCTATCTTCTCTGAGCGCCTCTAACTTTTATATCGCTCTCGAACTAATCGGGCTGTCTTTGAGTGAGGCGGCTTCTTTAAAAGGCGTGTTTCTAGCTATGTGACGTAGCTCATAGGTAGGCGCTTTTTCTATCGCTGGGTTTGCCGTGTGAGCGGGATTCTTCCGGAAGTTGTCATTCTCTACGTTTACGGCGAAGCCAGCGACACATATCGAGCTCACCCCGATTAGTAGGCACGAAAGACCGGAGACGTTTGGGCGCGTTAGGTCGATGATTAAATGCTGACGGCGGAGAGGGGAACGTGATCTCCTTCAAATAACTTTTGAGCGTTTGTTTGGAGGTGGGCACGTTTGGTCACTTCCCACGTCTCTTTGGGAACCGTCTACGGAAAGCTTGCCCCGCGCAGGCAGACGGACCAGCTCACAAAATGCCTCCAATAGAAAATGACGCCGGGAAGAACGAACTCCATAGTCGGATACAAGAGCTCATCGACTCCAACAAAGTCATGGTGTTCAGCAAAAGCTTCTGTCCGTATTGTGTGCGGGTAAGAGTGTTCTGTGAAACTGCGTGGACGAGACACGGGACGGCAAAGTTCTCGTTCTCCTGCGCGTAGGAACTCGGGCGGGCTCGGTCTAATTGCTGGCTCGCCCTTTTGTCCATGAAGCAGCCGAGGCGGAAAAACTTGGGCCAGAGCACGACGAGCTAATTGTATTCACATGACGCGATGAATGCGTGAACCTGCTCGAAAAGTTTAACAAACGTCATATTTTTATATGTTGGATTTGTTCCACATGCTACAGACATTTATAACATTACTGTGTCGTGTAATGACCCTTTCTCGTGCAGGTGAAGGACTTGTTCAGTGAGCTGGATGTCCAGTGTCATGTGATGGAGCTGGACCTCATGGGTAAGACTGGTCCCCACACCAACTTGCTCTCTGCCTTTTTCCTGTTAATGATTTGCATCTAGTCCAGAATTTGTCTCAATTTATACCTCTATAGTTTTAAGGCTGTTGTGAGGCTAAATGTAATGTAATAAATATTTAACGCAATTGCCACCTCCTGTGACATTAAATGGACTGTACTTGTATAACACCTTTCTATCTTATCAAGACACTCAAAGCTCTTTACAACACAATCTGTGTCCTCTACCCATTCATACATCACTCTACTAGATCTATAAAGACTAGTCTGTGCTTTAGATCAGAGTCAGAGGTTTTATTGTCATTTCAGCTACGTACAAGTACATATTGAAACAAAACAGCGTTCCTCCAGAATCACGGTGCAACACAGAACATAACGTGTAAAAAAAACAACAACAAAAAACATGCAGTGCAGATACACAAGAGTACAATAAATACATTCATGTACTGATGGGACACATCGAAGGCAATGAGGGGTTCAGTGCCCAGGGACACTTCAGCATGGGACTGCTGGTGGAATCAAACCCCCAGCATTCAGGCAGACTTTTTTCTTCAGCCTTTAGTCCATCTGGACGTTCTGGTTCCAAAATAGCCTAATTGTGGGAATCCATTCCACTGATCCATGCTACGAGTCTCCCTCAAGGTCGAACCCACCACGCTGATGAGTCCCAGAAGCCGCAGGTTGCCTGCAATTCTCATAAATCGCCTCCACCTTACGGTTTAGCTCGTAAACCAAGTCAAGTCACATTTATTTATATAGCTCATTTAAAACAGTAACTTATCAAAGTGCTTACCAAAAAAGATCACAGCATCAAATATTAATAACAAGACATTACAGCAACATGAATAAAAGCATAAAAACATGAAATATAATGAGAAACAATGAAATACTAAATCAAATCACCCTGCGTTAAATGTCAGGGAGTAAAGGCAAAATGGATGAACACAATCATCAACAATGAAATACCAAATGAGATCACGCTGTGTTAAATGCCAATGAGCACTGATGTGCTTTGAGGAGAGATTCAAAAGCAGAGACTGAGGTGGCCTGTCGAATGTTTATGGGCAGATTGTTCCACAGTTTAGGGCCCATGACTGAAAACGTTGGTTACGTACTGTAACCCCAGATTCTCTGAGTATAGGCGTAGCCCTTTAAGAATTTCGCTAGTGGGTTTATCCCTAGGCGCTCAGCGCTGCACTGAAAAAACTGTAGTCCACGCCCACCTACTGTGTGTGGGCCTCACCCCCGTGTCCGTATAAATTACGGTGAGACCGGGTAATTGGCTCCCAAAAATAGCTTTCTTCTTCAGCCATTTAGGAACCAGTGAGGCCCAGAGCTTAAAGGGCTACGCCTA